CTAAAATTTGTGCGAATTTTTTTAAAAAAGAAAATAAAAACAACCAAGTGAATCCAATTCTTTAAGGAGTCTTTAAACCGAGAAGGACATAACAAAAAACAGCTTTTGGGGCGTCTGTTAGGTGATTGAAATGGGTTTCCCTCGCTCAGGCAGGGTGCAGTTTGGAGAGGGCTCTACGGTGACACAGCTCTGGACTCTAAAGATCGCAAACTTCACTCTGGGTACACTGTGCCAGCAAGGTGGACTCGCTTGTAAATACCAGGATTTCTTTTGAAGGGGAGATGGGGGCTGGGGAGAGGAAAGACTCTACAACAGGACCCGCATGTCATTGACACAAAGGAAATGCCCCCTCCCAGCGCTCGCTGGCCGCTGAGGCTCAGCCCCGGGAAGAGCCCTGGCTAAAATTGTTTTATGTTTGATGTGAACTTGTAGCTGTAAAACGCTGTCAAAAGTTGGACTACACACCTAGTTTTTAGAAATCTGTACATTTTGTTGTAAAAAAAAAAAAAACAAAAACAAAAACCCAGTCCCTGTCCCCAGCCCATCATATTTTTTATGGGCATTGACAAATCTGTGTATATTATTTGGCAGTTTGGTATTTGCAGCGTCAGTCTTTTTCTGTTGTAACTTATGTAGATATCTGGCTTAAATATAGTTCCTAAGAAGCTTCTAATAAATTATACAAATTAAAAGGATTCTTTTTCTGATTAAAAGTCCACCTTTTGTTTGTTTTGATTTGGCTTTAAAAGGCTTTTTTTTTTTTTTTTTTTGTGGTGGTGGGGGTGGCTCATCATTGGCCTGATGGGAATTGGCATTGTTTGGGAGCTAAAAGGATCCTAAACCAGCTAAGGAGCTGGGCCCAGAGTCCTTGTCCCATAGGGAAATAGAGTTTTGTTCTGTCTCCGAATTGAGTAGAACCAAACCTTGAACAGTCCTGGGACTTGGCAATATAGAGGAAAAAAGCTGAACTACTTCCATCAGGAGGGAAAGGGAGAACAGAAGAGAAAGAGACCAAAGGACTAGTTTTTAGATCCAGGCTTCTGTTTTTTGAAACCTCAGAAGTGTCTGCTGTGGTCTTATACAGCTAAGTCAACAATTAAAACTTTAAAACGTTTTAAATAACATACATTTTAAATAATCCTGAATGAGAGATCATTTTTACGGAACAGATGGTCCCTGTAGATTTCAACACCAATCCTTATTTCTAATCTGCTGCAGAGCCTCGTCGGAATTAGAATCTGGTGGGAGGCTCTTTTCAAAAATGGGGAAGTCTATCTGGGTCTCGTTTCTGCTCTGAAACAACTATCCCCACTCAGAGTTGGACATGGATCCCCAGCCTTTCAGGGTCCTTCTGGCTCTGGGAGATTTTTTTGACTTGGCTACTGGCCTGGAGACACTGAAGGCAGGACTTTGGAAGCTGGGCTTTCCCTCTTTGTTCCACCAGTCTCCATCTCTGGGCTCCTAAATATCTTTGTAGTAAGGAATCTTTCTCCTGTTCCCAACTTTCTACTTCTCACTGCCCCGGCCACCCCTGCCACCCCAGCAAAAAAAAAAAAAAAAATCTTCAATCTTTCTTACTACTTTGAATTTCCCGGTCTCTTTGGTACCCAGATGTGGTTGTTGGGGAACTATCAGGGTTGCCCTAGAGAAGGGAGGAGGGAAGAGTGGTTCTGGACAGAGAGAAATCATAGCCCCTAGATGGGCTGTTGCCCCTTCTGTGTCACCTGTGAAAAACCTTCCTAGCAAAAGTGGGTCCCTCTTAGCCTGAAAGTGTTTGTGGCAGATTGATTCATACTTGCTTTGTACTCAATTCATGCCTAGAATTTCTTTTTCCTTCTCTTCATGTTTTCTTCCTCTCTTTTCCTCTTATTCTGTCTCCATCTCTCTCTGTCACCCAACTTCCACCTTACCCCACCCCTAGGAACTTGTGAGGGAAACTGCCTAGGCCAAGGCCTTGCTCCAGACCAGCAGTTCCTGGGAGGCTCCTCACCCCTGGTGCCTTACGAGTAGGGGCCAGGGTGGGCTTCATCTCCTGGGTCTGGCTACTGAGATATGGTTTCCAATATCCAAAAGAGACTCAGAGAATCCAAGGATGGTTGCTTGGGTCTACAGAGTGTGCTGGTGGGGGAAAATCTCAGGAGGCCTCACATTTTGGAAAACAAGAAAAAATCAGTGAAGTTGGAACACTTGTGTTGGAATGAGCAGCTGTGTTCCCCGGACAGGTTGTGCAGGTGGTCAAATCACAGCTCAGCCCAGGGCCTTGGCGGGGGAGATGTTTGCTCTAAGGTCCCAATTCCGTGGGCATGGGAGCTTCCGCTTAACCTGCCCCAGGCCCAGCATAAGTCTGGTCTGGGGCGAGGGGCGCGGTGCCTACAACGGCAAGGACGGCTGCCCCCCCCCATCCTGGCCCAGAGGGGGCACCTGAGAGTCACAATTTTAGTGGGTTGTGGTACCCTCGGCCTTAACACCCTTGCGCTGGATGGAGTTTTATGAAATACATTCTTCTCCCTGCCACCTCGAGCCGGCTTAGTTTGAAGTCTGTTTACTTGTTGGGGATGGGGGAGGAGGGGGGAATGTGAGTTCAGCCGGGTCTGCGGATGGAACTGAGACTAACGGAGACTTGGCCCTTCTCTCCATCCATCACCCCGGGTCCACCAGCTCCAGCTCCTGGCCCGGAGATTGTAGTAACTTCAGGAATCGGCCCTGGAACGCGAGCTGAAGCTTTTTGATAAAGAAATATGTGCGCGCTGGGCACAGCAAAAGACCTCAGGCTGGGGACATTCCCTACCCCACATCTCGGTGACCCCCTGCGAAGCCGATTGTCGTCTTCGCCTGGAGTGGCCCTCCCCTAGGTCTCCAGCATCTCTGGCCCAGGTTCCGGCCTGGAGAAATCAGCCTTTTGGGGATGTCCCTGGCGCTGAAGTGCTGGAAGGGCCAGAAGCTTCCCCACGTAGGGGGGCAGCGCAGTTCGCTCCAAGATCCCAGAGAAGCTGAGCGCCCCCGCCTAAGCACCCCACCCATCCCCAAGCCCCGAGGGCTGCGGAGAGTGGGGGAGATTTTGCAGACAGCATCCCCCCTTTCCTCCTCTCCCCCACCCCCACCCTACCAAGTAAACACGGGGACTTTCTCGAGAGCCCTGGAGTGCGGCTCTAGTGGCTTCGGGGCCTGAAACCCCAGGCTTGGCTTGTTTGATGTTTAGCATCCCAAAGCGGCACGCCACCCCCGCCCCAGCCTGGGAACCTGGAGCTCTGGGTCGGAGAGGGAGGAAAGCCGCCCTCTCAGTCGGCCAGGCCAGGGGACTGGGCTAGGTTCAGGGAAGGCGAGAAGAGCCGGACAGAGACGCGCTGAGCGGGGGAGAAGGGAGTCCCGGCTGCCGCCGCCCCCAACAGAGACACTTGTGGGTACAGCTGGAGTCCTCAAGGCCGGGAGGCGGGTGGGGGCAGGGAATGCTTCAGCAGCCGGGGCAGCGGCTCTGGGATAGGGGCTGGCCCTGAGGGAGGTAGCTTGGGGCCCGCGAAGGAAAGCAGACCCAGGCCGGAGCCGACGGTGCGAGAAACGCTCGGGGCACTCACTCCTGGAGGCGAAGGAGGCCCCGCGCGCTCCAGTCCCTGGGCCTCGAGGAGGCAAGGTCTTCTTCCCACTGCTTAGGACTTGGCCTTTCAAAAGGGAGGACTTGCTCGGGAGCCTTCCCAGGGATTTGAAATCCTCCTGGGGGCAGGGTTAGGCCTGGGGCTGGCATCGAGGTCTCCGATTTTGAGACCCCGGGCAGGAATTCTCAGACTTTGAGGCCGCACACTCTCGAGCGCGCTCACCGGCGTGAGTAAGCGCGTCCGTGAGGGGCTATCTCCAGGCGCGAGTGCACAAAAGGTAGCGCGAGTCTCTTCTCGGGCGACTCGAGATAAGAGGAAATGAGAGCGGGGTTTTCTGACTTCCAACTCATTAGGGACCAGGTAAGGTCAATGCTTTCTCTATTATGTCTTTATCTTAAAAGCGGGTCAATTTAAGATAAGGGAAAAAAAATCCAGGAACTGTGTGAACCGTGCTGATAAAGACTGACCCCTTTCCAGAACTAAAAGCAAGCCAGGCAGACATTCATTTTCTATAAACAAGAGAGTTGTGAGAAGCTGCCTTGAATTCTGATCGAATGTCTCCAGTCTCTCTAGACATCGCTCACCCCCTCCCCCAATTATTAGACCGGGGAGCAGAGTGAGCGGGGATATTATTTGTGGAGAACTAGAAAGCCTGTTGGGAAATGTGAATCTGAGATGATACGGTTCTTAGGCATGGTTTGCTGGCTTGTTTGTTTCAAATGCCTCTTTCTTTTAGAATGGAAGGAAAGTGACAGCTATGAGTATTAGGAGGGCTGACGCTGAATGTTTTCCTTGTTCAGCCAGGTTCCTCTTAAGAGATGCTGGACACCACCTTCCTCTGG